ATTTCTTCTGTAGCAGGGGCACAAGTCGCTCCTATTCAAGGACTGGGGAAGCCTTGGGGGCTGTGGGCCTGGCCCACCCAGGAGACTGTCTTTTTCCTGTATTATTCTTAGTTTAGAACCCTTAGTGGGTTCTCTGGCTTTTGGAAAACTAACCCACTTACTCTGAGAGGAAATTTGGACTCTGTCCTTGGTTTGGTTTCGTGCTCTTGTGTCTTTTATCTTTTCTCTTTTTGAAAACTACATTTCTCTTCATTTCAGCTGAGTCATTTTCCTCCTCCTCCTCCTCTTCTTCTTGACACTCCTGGGAGCCGGAAGAAGCCCTGTCCCAAATCCTTGGCTCCTCCAGTCCAGATCTTTTCCAAATGTCAAACTTGTAGGAACCTTGGCACAGAGCAGAGTGGGCTCTGGCCCCAAATCTCTTTACTCCCTGCCTTTGTTGGTCTCTGCTTTCCTTTCTCATTGAAGAGTTTTATTAATTGGCTTTTCTGTGAGTACCTTGCCTTTAAGGTTTCCAGAGAGAACCTGGTGGGAAAGACCTTCTGCTCCCTAGTATGGCCTTGCCACTGCTTGGCTGAGCTTGTCACACAAACTTCTCTGCAGCTTAAGCTGGTGGGATCCATAGCACCACTGTGCAGCCGAAGGTCTGCATGCCCATCTGGAGGGGTTTGGGTTTTCTCAGGGTCTCCATCTGATGAGCCTTCAACCACTTGTGCTTACTTCTCACTGTGTGGGGCCAGCACCTCTATTCTGTCCCTTGAAGGCTTTGTACCTGTCTCAGAGAATCCACAGAACAGAATGGGCAGGAGGTGTCAGCGTATTCTATGTGTGCTCTTGGCTTTAGGCCAAAGCCTTCCAAAATGGCCAGGAAAAGTAATATTCCATGGAATTATTTCCATGGAATTGCACAGTCTTCAAAGCATTACCTATGAATTGTGACTTTTCTTACAGCATAAGTCATTTTATCCTCACAGTTTCCCTGTGAGGGAGGCAGGGCACTGTCAGTTTCCTTATTTTGTAGCTGAGGAAATAGGCTTAAAAAGTTAACTGGTTTGCCAAGTTCTCAGAGCTGGTCCTCATTTTTTTTTCACAATCATTATTTACATTTCTGTCTTATTCCCAAAGAGATTTACCTGGTGCAAGATCAGTAGGTGGCTAAATGAGAACTCTTGCCCATGCCCCCTGACTCCAAAAGCATAGTTTTGCAGTGGATTTTAATTTTGGTAACTTCTCACTGATTCTATGTCACGTCGATGCCTCATATGAGGACATAGGATCTATTTACTTAGATGTCAAAATGTGAAGTGAAACTTTTCTTTCTTTTTTTTACTGGGCCTTCACATTGAACTACATTTCCAACCCTTAAAAAAATTTTTTTTTGAGACAGGATTCCGCTAGTTCTCTAGGTTGGGCTTGAACTCTTGCTTCTCCTGCCTCAGCCTCCCAAACTGCTGGGATTATAGTTGTGCACCACTACAACTGGCTTAAAAACTTTTGATTTGATATTTTGGCATCCTTTTAGGTAAGATATTTTATTCCTTCCTTCCTTCCTTCCTTCCTTCATTGATTCCAGGCAATGGCAGGGCTACTGGAGACACAGGTAACTGTATGCAAAAGTGATGCACTCTCCTTCATGGTTAGAAATGAGAAGCTGTCACTACTGAGGCACCATCTTGGAGAGACCATCTTGGAAGTGGATTCTTGTCCCAGCCAATGCCATGTGTGCAGTCTAACCACCTAGCAGCCTTTCCAGATTTCTGACCCACAAAATTATAAGCAGCATAAACTAGTTGTTTTATATCTAATAAGCTTTAGAGGATAGTTTTATTACATAGCAGAAAATAATTGGAACAAAATCCCAGGGACTGATAGTTCTTCCTGAACAAAGCCCTCTTTGGATCCTCAGTCCTTTGCGGAGTTTTTCATAACTTGGAGGGCAAGTGGGCGGTTCCCAGGCTCTTTAGCATACTGCTTCTTTTTTATGCAGGAACTGCCCCTTAATTTATGAACCATTAAAAGTCCTGGAAACAGTGTAATGGAAAATGGAACTAGCTGATTAGTGTTAGGCACCTTGTGAATAATGGCCCTGCTTCTGGGAATTCCCTGAAGGAGCTTTGCTTGTTTCTATGGAGTGGTAGCTTGCCCAGGCAGACCCAGTGTTAAAGAGTGGCCAGGTGGCTGTAGACCCAAAGGTGCCAGGAGTTTTGGGTTCTGTCAAGTGGCAAGGTTCAGGGTAGTGGAGTTCATTTCAACATAAGCTCAGTTGGCTTTATGACTTTTTTTTCCTGCTCTCTTTGGGAAATGATTTTTTTTTTTTATTCTTTTTGGGGAGTGATAAAAACTGAACTGCTTATGCAAGCACCAACACGTGACTCCTAGTCCATGGCTTCTTTCTTCTCTTCTCCACCCACAAAAAATAATTCACAGAAAACCTGTTCTCTGGCCAAGTCTTCCCTCCTCATCTTTCTTCTCTTCTCCACCCACAAAAAATAATTCACAGAAAACCTGTTCTCTGGCCAAGTCTTGTCCCTCCTCAGCGGGTGTGTGTGTGTGTGTGTGTGTGTGTGTGTGTGTGTATGTGCACGTGCGCACTTGCTTTATTTTTTTGTTGACTTTAGAACAAATTCAGATTTCTGACTCTGGATTTTGGGGCAAGCTACTCCAGCTTCCTTTGGAAACGTTGCTTAAATACCAGCATATTTGGAAGCCCTTCTGCCTTCCTCCTCTCATAGCCTAATAATACCTGAAACTTGGGCTGGAGCAGTCCTGAGGATTGTGGGGGAGGCAACTGCATTTCTGAACTTGGGTTAAGGGCACCCAAGTATTCACACCTGGAGCTCGAGGAGGCGAGTCCAGGGGAGCAGGGCAGCTTTTCATGCCACCCCGAGAGCTCACCAGATTTACGACGGTCTCCAGGCATGCTAAGATTTTTCTGAGACTCAGTTTCTTTATCTGGAAAGTGAGGTTCAGAAGTAACATAGTTACATAAGAGACAAAGCAAGGGACACATAACATGTTCCCAAGAATCTGTAAGTGTCACAGTGAAGGTGTTGACAGTGGGGAGTTTGTTTCTCAGACAGGGCTGGTGAGGGGGTGCCTTTGATGAAGAAAGCTCACCCTGCACGCCCACAAATGCCAGTGGCTCTCCAAATGCTTTCCTAAGTGGTGCACAAGACGAACCTTTTAAAAAATGACCCACTGGCGAAGGAAGTGACAAGGCTCCTTGATTCTCCTGCTGTCCCTTAACTGAACCACAGTTTCAGTCTTTGCAGTGGGGAAAGGTGAGGGCATCAATTTTCCTTTCTGTTCTGAGGCAGAGCTCCTCAGGGGCCGACTGCTATAAATGTAAGAGTATAATTATTCTTTTCTAAGCCATGTATAAATTAGGAACAATAACAATTGGTTTAAATTAAAAATAAACTGAAGGTAGAGATTCGAGGCTTGGAGTAGTGAAGGGCTTGTAAGCTTAGGGGTCCCTATCGAGTTCAATCCCACCTCACCGGCCAAAATGGGGCTGATATCTATTACTTGTGGGACACAGGATGAGATAAAGCGTGCAGAATGCTGATTATGGAGCCACAGTAGGCTCACCTGTGGTGCTGTAATTAATATGACAAGACTGGGTGAGTTCAGGGTGGTATGGCCGGAGACTGTGGTGGTGTAATCTGTAGTGAACCAGCTGTGTTTTGCAGTGATGAGGAAGAGTCGGGGAGAAGGCAGTGAGCTTCCTGGGGTGTGCTAGGCCACCGAGTCATTAAGATGTTGGCATCAGCTGCAGGCTCAACATGAAAGATTGGGTGCCCAACCCCAAGGGACACCCAAAGATTAGAGGAGTGAGTTGAAAGAACCTAATAGGGCACAGGGGTGGCACTTCTAGGCCGGCTGCACAGAATTCCTTCACTCTCTGGATGGCTCATACAGGGACTTAGACAGAGTCACTCCGAGGCAGAAGACCAGGGGCTTCCCTCTCTGTGAGTTAAGCATTCCACAGAGGCAGAGGACTCTCCTGAGTGTCTACAGCCTGCTTGCCCAGCTGTCCCTCATTTGCATGGGGTCTTCAAATCCCCTCAGACAGTGATACCTCTCAAGAGGAAGCTGTTTATTAGAAACATTTATTAATGCTTACAGAAAAAGATTGCAGTGTAACAACATGTAGGTCCTGTTGCCTATGTCCATAGTAGAAACATTATTATGGCTTAGCAAGCTCCATGGTGAGGATTCTGAGATTAGACAGGGTTGTTCTTCCTCAGGAAGTGGCCACTGGAAGCATTGTTTTTTCTGCGTTGTTTTAGTGATGGTTCTACTAAGTCCCAATTTAAACCTGTGTGTGTGTGTGTGTGTGTGTGTGTGTGTGTGTGTGTGAGAGAGAGAGAGAGAGAGAGAGAGAGAGAGAAGTATGATTACAGTTCTGGGCTGGTGTTTTCTATTTATTTAATTTTGAGTGTCAGCATTTTACTACTCTCCATTCTCTCATTTTAGAATAACAGGGCTATTTATTGATACAAAGGGGAGGTGTTCAGATCATCTTGTTAAGCTGCAAAGCTCAAAATAAACACTGTATCTTTATTTGGAGCTTCACATCCTTCCTCCAAGGAAGACTCATGCTTAAATCTGTATGAAGTACGAAGCCCAAGGAGAGGGGATATTTTTAATAACTACTTTGCTTACATTTTAGATTGTGCAAATGCCTCCACTGATGTCTACGTGAATCTGGACAGTTTTGAGCAATAAATACTACTGTATGTTTCCAATCACATGAAGGGTCCAAGTAAATGGTATTTCCCCGACTTGTGAGAGGGGAAGAAACAGCGAATGGTAATGAAAAATATGCAACAGAGTACAAATGAGTACAAATGAGCATAGTAAGCAATTTTATGCCTTTGGGAGAAAGCACTGAGATAATAAATACAAATGACAAATATTTACAATAGACGCAAAGGATGGGACATCAGTAGGCGAACACATAAGACATTTACACATCCAGTCCAGGAGCTGGTGAACAAATGAACAGCTGACCCAGCAACGCGGGAGAATGTTATTGCTTCAGCTTTTGAGTGACGTAAGGAAAAACAGTCAACGTGCTGCAGTGGCCTGTGGCATGAGAAAACCATGTTTATGTTCGGTTCCTATGGCAGAGCCTGGCCTTGCCTCCTTCCTTCCAGGGCAGAGCTGGGTTAGACACATGGATCCTCTGTTCTTTGCAGTCCCAGCTCAGTCTGGGTGCTTTTCCTGGTGAGTTGCTGACCCACCCCACCTAACGATAGCTTTCTCACATGGCCTATGAGACGGAGTTGGGGAATATAAACACCAGTTGTGTTTGGGGTGAAGGTATTCCGTAGAGCAGATCATTTAACAGTAGAAAAATTTAGCTTCTGTTCCTGGTCTCTGGTTGCTTGAGGGAGAGCTAACGAATGTCTGTCAAGATAAGGGAGGATGCATATTTTTTGGCTTACTCCCTAGAACTATGCTCAACAAACTCTGGCCTGGGACTCATATTCAGCTGGGGGATTGTTAAATAAGATTTTACTGGAAGAGAGCCAAGCCCTTTCCTTTACGTGTCTGGGGCTGCTTTTGGGGTACAAAGGCAGAGTAGACTAGCTGCAACAGATACCAAATTGCCCGCCAAACTGACAACAGTGTATTTACTATCTAGCCCTTTGCAGAAAGTTTGCTGACCTTTGTTCTAGAAGGATCCAGCCTAGGACATCTCTCCACTCCTGAAAATACTGACTCCTATTCGAGCTTTGGCTGTAGCAAGAAGCTTTAATTCAAAGCCATTAGGAAGAAAGTGCTTATCAATGAGAAGCTCACAGTAACTGCAAGAAACTCGCTTTTATAGATTTTCTATCATAAGGCTTGCCCTTTCTGCCTTGTATTTTAGTTCCATCTTTTCCTCTGCCTTTCTTTTGTCCACTTTGACTTCCCTTCTCATTGCTAAATATTCCATTAGGATCTGGAAAGTCTTGTCCCTTAGAGATTTGCAGCAGTCCCTCCATTTATGCTAAAGGTTAGCATTCCTTGATGGGAATTACTTAGCAGTCTTCATTCTCTTCTCCCCTTTTCTGTCCTTCAGCACACAGGAGCCAGGTTTCCTGCTTGGCTGCACAAGATCACATGTGGGCCCAATGCTCTGTGGATCTTTGCTAAGGGTCAAGGTGAGATAGCAACATTCTAAAGGAATCTGTCAAACAGACTCTCCATGTGTGCATTTTCCTCCAATTAGGAGGTTTGTCCCAGGTGGGTATGAGCCCATGTCAATATAGTGCTGTTTGATTCCTTTTAAAACTGCACTCACAAAAAATTCACTTGCAAAGGATGGGCTGGGGTTGTTTATCCTCCCCCTTTAAGCTGGTTTTAATGACCCAGTTGCTTTGTTTGAAAGCCATTTATTTAGATGACAGATACGTAGATGTCACTGGATAAATAAAAAAGTGAAATCAAGATTTGAAGCAGTGGTTAAAATATAAACACACAGGGGCCAATCCCTCAGGTGGGTGTCCCCTAGACAGAACAATGGCTCAGAAATTACACATAGAAATTACACTCCCCCACCCCCTCAAGCAGCTCTGAAACACAAGGTCCCATGTAGGAAACTTGGCACCGAGCCCCGCTGTGGCCCCTGCCTCCTTGCCACCCTGCCCCTGCATTGCTCGCCACCTTTCCGTTCACTCCTGGAAACCACATGCCTGCCTTCTGTGAAGACAGCACCAGGAGCTGTGGGTAGAGCCTAGCACCCGTAATGTGGTCCAGCCCAAGTAGCCACCTGATCTCCCCTCCCTGCCTCACCTCCCCCATGACAGAATGCACCACGCGCCCACCACCCACTGGCTCCATGGATGGAAAGAAGACGAAGTTACAAGGAGGATGTGGGGGTTCCCTTGAGTATGCGTGAATGCCTGATTCCCTAGGCACCTCTCAGACCTCTCTGCCTGAGGAGCTGTCTCACCTGCTCATACACCTTCACGAAGTCCACATTCCCCACAAAATCCTGCCTGTGACATCCCCCTCTTTAATGGTAAATGTTTTGGAATGTCCATAGATAAGAAAATGGACGTCGTGGAGGAAAGTTTTCGTGGCTGGGCCTTTCATTTCACCTCCGGATATCAGAATACTCCGATTGTTCGTCCTCCCACTCACTGCTTCCAGAAGGTCCCTGGGTCCCGTGGCCCCCAGCTCTGCCCCGGGCATGAGAGTGACCCTTACTCCCACGCTCGCCCTTGGCACCTCGGCTGTTCTCCCTGCTGCTGGGCTCTGAGAAGTGGTAATTTGCTTCCCCATGGTGGGCCCGGGAGAGTCTGGCTCTGTCCATCTGGAGCTGGTGCTCAGGAGGCACTGTGGGGGGCCTGTGGATGGCTGAGGTGCAGAAGCTCAGGATGGAACATAGGCCCCCCCAGTTCTGCTCACACTGAGTCTGCATGCTGTGGGTGATGGCCTCCTTCACCTCCTCCCCACAGGTAAGCAGCAGATTCACCAGGTCCACGTAGGGTCTAGAGATTGAAAGCAGAGAGAGAGAGAGAGAAAGAGAGAGAGAGAGAGACTAAGAATGGAAGAAGTTCCATAGGGGTCCTGGTGTGCTGTGACAGTGCCAGGAAAGAGATGAGGCCAGTGTTTGGTTTGGGTTTGGTGGAACTACTTTAAGCCTTTGCCCATGTTCCATGGAGCACTGGCCTCTACCATGGCAGGAGCTATAGATACGAGGCTCTCACTCATACTATGCTATGGCTTGTATCTAGATGTCCGTCCCATCATGCAGTCATAGGTGGAGCTTTTCAGAGGTGGCTGGATCTAGGATGTGTGATGCTGGGATTGATTTGTGATGCAATGCTGGGTTAAGGGTCCCCCACCCTGGTTGTGAGTGCTACTGAGGGTGGGTAGAATTTAAGGGACAGAAAGAGGGCTGCTGTTGTCTCTGCTTATCACTTGCTGCTGTTGCTTTGCTGCCTTCTTGCCCTCTTCCCACAGTAAACTGTTTCTCCTCTGTGATGCCCCTCTGCCATGCCACCCATCTTTGGAGCCAGCCAACTATGGACTGAGTCCTCTACAAACTGTGAGCCAAAATAAACCTTTTCTAATTTAACTTTGGGTGTTGCGTAACTTGTCTCAGCAACAAGAAAAAATAACTAAAGCATACTAGTTGTACAGACAGAGCCTGCCACAGGAAAAAGAGCCAGTAACAATTCACAGGTGCATAACTAGGGCTAGGACACTAAAAGGAAGGTGAGCAGTGACTAGGGCAGCTGTATTAATAACAAGACACGAGCATTCTGGGGGTGTCCAGCCATGGGAGCCAGGTGATTTTCACCTAAGTGTTAGGTCTTGGGGTCAGTGGAACACACTTGGGCAAATGGTAGAGGGCCTTCAATTCCAAACTCAGGACTCCTCTCAGTAAGGGAGAAGACAGGAAGGGTTTACAGTTTGTGGCAGCTCCTTACGGCTGCCTTGAGTCCCCCACCTTCGTCTCTTGTGTGGTGCTAGTAAGGCCAGTTTACTTTGTACCTGGTGCCATTGTTGCAGGAAGCGTCCCCTGACTGAGGCTCCCAAGAGCCACTTCTCCCATGTCTGTGCCTGCTCCTGGCTGAGGCTCACGAGGAAGGGTATTTTGGGAAGCTACTGAATATACTTCCCTCTACATCTGGAGGCCTCTGCAATAGGCGGTGAAGGGCTCCAGGAAGACCACTTCCTTGGAACATCATTTCCCTTTCTGGTAGCAGTGGCAGGGCAGTGGGAGTGGCTGTCTAACCACCCTTATTCTTTCAGTCTGGGGTTCCCCAGCACAGAAAGTGAGAGGCTCCTGTATTTGCAGTGTGAGCCTGCTTTTATGCTTTGCTCTGGAGGGCTCAACCCCTTCTGGCTGCCTTGGGCCATTCTTCTGGAAAACTGTTAGAGGAGTTTACTCCAGGAGGTGGAAGATGTGTGCAGAAGGTAGGTAGCAATGTGCCTGCTTTTTTATTTATGAGCCATCTGGTAAGTAGTGTGCCCAGCAATGGGTGCTTAGGGCCCACTCACCGATTGGCCTTTTAAAATCCCCAAAGGGGTATGGAATGCTTCATGTGACTAACTGGCATTCTTTGTTTCTTCTTTCATTTTTGTTTTTCGGGACTGGGGATGAAACCCAGGGCCTCATGCATGCTAGGCAACCGCTCTACACAGAAGTATGCATCCAGCTGGCTAACTGGCACTCATAAGCAGCCCTTAGCAAAAGTTCTGGATACATTTGACCATGAGTATCAAGCCCTGGGTCATTGCCTTGAGCAGGGAAATCACTGTGGAATGTGAGATCTTTACGACAAGCAGCAAAAGTTTTTTGCTCCATGGGCCTTGGCCATCTGGATGGCTGTATTAGAGCCAATGTGATCTCTCTTTGTAACTTGGCAGTTGTTAGTATGCAGAAAGAGCAGATTATGTTTTAGGATAATGTGTGAAGCAGTTTGCTGCCATTCTTTATTAATTAGGTCTCAAGTTATAATTGAGCAAACGGTCCTCACTTAGTGGATGTAAAAACTGAGCAGAGGGAGGTGGCCTTTGGGAGCTTCCAGTATAGGAAGGCCTGAGAGCAGAGAAGGGTTACTCTGGTTGATAGCATTCCAGCTGCTTTTTAAGGCCTCCATGATACCTTTGGTGTTAGAATCTGTTCATAGTGGAGGTGCAAAGTGCTTAAACTTTCTAAGGCTGGCCTCTGACAGTGACAAACACAGCATAGTAGTGTCTTTTTAGGCTACCTTGAGAGCATGCACAGAGCAGCACAAGGGAAATGCTCAATGCACGTTGGCTTCCTTTCATCTTTTTTTTTTTTCTTTTGGTATTTCTGGGGATCGAACCCAGGGCCTTTTCCCTGAGCTATATCCACCACCCTTTTTATTTTGAGACAGGGTCTTGCTTAAGTGATTAAGTTTCCTAGGCTGGGCTCAAACTCACAGTCCTGCCCCCGGCCCCAGCTTCCCAGAGTGCTAGGAGCCCAGGCATATACCATCACATCCAACTTCCTTCCATTTCTTAAAATTAGCAACTGGCTCAGAGAGCTCAAGTTCACCAAGCACGTCTGCTGAAGTGGCAACAAGATTTTAGTACCTACTGTACTCTCAGGGGCTAGATGAGCACCTTGAAGGGGCTGAATATGTCTTTTTGGGGATTCTAAATTGATTCTTTTCTTTAAGTAAGAGTAAGAGGAAGGCCATTTCCCTAGGGTGTTATGTCTGCTACAGGCGCTCTCAGAATTCTAAGGAAGGCAGGGCTTTTCCACATTCTCCTCAGCTCCTGGCCCTTGCTCCCGACTAGTAGGCTGTGGACTGTAGGAAGGGGTGTGTGTGCCAAAGCAAGCTAATCTAAGCCATGTTTCGAGTTGGCATGGTGCCTTCTCAGGCTGCAGACTGAGACCCTGTCTAATGATAAAGCTCAGCTCACTCAAAAGGGTATCAGCAAGGTTAAAGGGTTAAAAACAAACAAACAAACAAAAAACAAAACAAAAAAATAACACTTGGAGGGGCATGTGTCTGGAGGTTCCAAATGATGTGTGGCTGCCAGTGACAGGGCTTGTGGAGCCAAGGTAGGCTGTCTGCAGCTGGAGGGAGGCAGACGATAAGGAGACAGTGGGGGTAGATAAGAAGGGGTGAGAGGAGCAGAGCGGAACAGAATGGAGAAGAGCTGCTTTAAGTGAATGTGCACATTTTGAAGTAGATGAGGGCTGTGTTGAGGAATGAGGTGAGAAATGACTACATTTCCTTTTCTCTTAAGTGAAAAGCAAATTTGGTTCTCATTCTCTTATTTGTGACCAATGCCACATATTCTGAAATGACTTTTTGATATCTGGTCACTGACAGGATCCTCTAGTCAGTCAAGATGGTTAGAGGGGAAAAAAAATCTCAAGCAATTTAGCTTAAAGTACAAGCAGATGCTCTGCAGAGCTGTGGCCCCATAAGGGTAAATAATTGGGGTTTTGGAGGAGCTGGAGTTTGATGGAACCCATACCTTAGAAGTGATGCCTTTGCAGGAAACAATGAGGACCTGTAGGTTACCACATGGCATGTCCTTAAAAGAGGCCCACACTTCTGATCGGGCTGGGCCACTGGCACTTCCGGAGTAGGCTGGGTTGGGGCCGTATGTTCATTCTAAGTGGCGTGGGGATCCTAAGGAAATGAAGGTCCCTGGCTCTATGGGCCACGTTCATGGAGAAAACAACAGAAAGCCACCTCCCTCTTAAATGTGAAGGATGAGGGAACAAATTTAAAACTCAGTTTTCCTAAATAAGACTTTTACCAAAAGACTATAAGGAATTTTTACACTCTAAACACGAATCACAGACTTATAAACTGGCACTCATTCTCCATTGTTGAGGACAGTGAACCATGGATGACAGGAGGGAGAGGGGACTTGGGCAAAAAGACTTCATGGAGTTTCTTGGCCATGGGCTGTTTGTGTTTGTTTTTTCCAGAGGTTCCTTAAAAGAGGGGGGTTTCACAGTACTTTCTGTGTAGAATGGGGATACATTTGAGAAAGGGCAAAAAAAACCCTTGTCACATTTGGGGACCAATGAGGCCTTAGTAGGTCTAGTGAGGGGAGGACATGCCAGGGCGAAGGAAGCTAGAATTCTGACAACTTGTGTCAGTCATATACAGTCGGCCCTCTACATCCATGGATTCAACCATGAATAAAAAATGTTCGGGAAATAAATTGCACCTGTATTGAATATGTGCATTCTTTTGTCTTGACATTAGTCCCTAAACAAAATAGTATAACAACCACTTACATAGCATTTTCATTGTATTAGGTATTATAAGTGAGCTAGAATTGATTTAAAGTGGGTTATATAAGTAGGTTATATGCAAATACTACACCATTTCATATGAGACTTGAGCATCTGTGGATTTTAACATCTGGATGGGGTCCAGGAACAATATTGAGGGACAACTGCCTATCACCAATTCCCAAGTTGAATAGTAGGAACCAAACCTCAGAGAAAGTTCCTTAAGCTCTTAGCTTCATTTTCCTCCTCTGTAAGAAGGGAACAGTAATCCCTATCTCAGTGTTGTTAGGAAAGACAAATGTGATAATTCATGTAAAGCCCCTGGCCTAGGGCCTGACACATAAAAATAATGTTGTTGTTGATGCTGTTGTTCCTTTGTAGGTATTTGGAAGAATAAAAATATTTCATAAGGCATTAGTATGATTCAGAAAAGGCAATATAATTTGTTTTGGACAAGAGCTGCTTGCAGAGCTTCACCATCAATCTTATAATCCTTACACTATACCAGAGGGGTGAGCTACCTATAAGCTTACAACCAAGTGGGCAATAACAGGAGATGGTTGTTGTACTCTGTGGTCTAGATGGCACTAGTCAAGTAGGGATAGCCTGTTTAGTGACACTCCTGGGAGAAGGTCATGGGACGAACTGCGGGGCAAGAATTCATAGAATTGTAATGATTTGGTTCAATGAGTCACTGTGGGAAGAACAAGAGTGCCACCAAGCTGGCAATAACATGTTCTAGACAGCTTAGCCAGTGGCTTATTTTCTGCTCAGCATCTCTGAAGAAGGAATCATCCTTGGCAGGGAATTTGGCTCAGTGGTTCCGATGACTGCCTCGAAAGTGCAAGGGCCTGAGTTCGATCCCAGTCCAAAAAAAAGGAGTCATCCTAACCTTCAATGTTTATGAACTGTGCATTGTGTCAGGAACAGTTATGCATCAACAGGCCTTACCATCGTGCAACATTTAGGATTTTGTAGCTGAGATAATTTTTAAGGAATGAGATGGCTTTGATTTATCACTGAATTTCAAGTCTTTGAATAAGTTCAGTTCGTATTTCCTAGTTTTGGCATTGTAATATTTTTTTTTTTTTTTTTTTTTTTTTTTTTTTTTTTTTTTTCTTCTGGCAGGGCCTTAATGAGTTAGAAACGGTGAGCTGGACCTTCTGAGCAAAAAGAGAGCCTGGAGGCAGAAAAAGAAGCAATCGCTCTGAGTGTGGGTTATTTAAGAGTGTAGGCTGTGGGGCCAGATTGCGTGGATCACAGTGGAGCTCTGCATCTCACTAGCTGTGACCCTCAGTGGATCTGAGTTTTCTCATCATGTAAAATGGAGCTGATTAAGGAATCTATCTCAAAGGGCTGTTGTGAGAATCAGGAGAAAACCATACAAAAAGCACAGAGTAAACATCCCACAAATGTTATTAAGTATCCTGCAGCTACCTGGAAGACCTGTGGGGTTCTTGTCTAAGATAAAAACAGAGTATTTCTCAGTGTACACGTACACACACCACACACACACACACACACACACACATCTATTTTTGTTGCCTATGATTTCAAAATAGGTGATGGAAATCTCTTTCAGTTTCCTGAAAGCCAGCAGGAAAGGAGATTCCTAGGGGAGTTAGTGCGGCTTTCTGAATCAAACTCAACTTTCCCCATTTGACAGGAGCTCAGCCTCTAACAGCAAACCTCCCAGACTGAGTGCAGCACACTTCCAATCTCCACTACTCCATCCTTGCCGGAGCAGCCCTACATCGCCAGCTTCCCCGTGAGGCAAGGCATTATGAGTACTCACTCGTGCAGCAGTAAGTCTTTGAAGTGGATCATCTCCACTATGACCCGGATGTTCTCCTGCGCAGCTGCGCACAGATCATGCTTGAGATAGCATTCCCGCTGCAACTGGAACACCATTTCCTTGATGGCAGGGCACTTCCGGCTTATGCAGCCGAACCTGTGCCGCAGAGCGTGGGCTTTACACTTCAAGGCATCCTTGATGAATGACTTGCCCTGAGGACAGAAGAGGAAGAAGCGGCAGAAGAGGAAAGACTTTGTGATATGGTTAGACATTTACCCATTTAAGTTTCTTTTTTTGACAGTACAATCCCAAGGCTCCTTCTCAGACTGATAACCTCCCAGGTGACAGGCTACATCGGAGGTACACTGGGAGGGACATGATACTTCCAGAAGAGGAATATTAGTTCTGTACGCTAACAAATCTGCCTCTTTCCTCAGCAGCTGCACTTTTAGTTTTCCTTGAACTGGGGCGTCTGTGGCTGTCTGTCCTCAAGACAGCCCGGTATTGGCTACTGAGTGGCAACTTTTCTGGCACACCAGGGGAATTGGGCCTTAACTCCTTTGTCATTCTCAGCAAGAGTTCTTCGCCAGTGGAAGATGCCTCTTTGTCCAAATCAAACATTTTTCCTTTTTCCTTCAATGCTACGAGCACTACCGCTGAGATGGTGTGCTCTTGGAACCTCCCCTCTCTGCCTAAGTGCCTCTGATTTGTACTCTTGTCATCTCCCATCCTTCAAGGAGGAACACTCTTTGCCTTTCCAAAAATGACTCTACTCCTTTAAACTGTTAGGATTATTGCCTCTAAAAGGCTTTCCTGGCACCCAGCCTGGCAGCATCTGAGCCTGAGTGCCCATCTGACAGCCCCTCCCCCCGCGGTCCTGCTCTGAGGGGGCCAAGGCGGCCAAGCATACATCTGGCCGCAGTTCTCTTTCCTGGCAACTCCATTAAGCTGTGCTTATCCTAGAAAGGAGACAGCTGTTGGGGGTGTGGAGGCAGCTCTGCCTTTTCTCCCTTATCAACCTCTAGTGGCCCAGAGGCATTGTGGGATGCCTACCCAGGAATCTTCACACCCTCTATTACTATAGAAACGAGCTATCCTTGGAGAGGTCACCCTCTGTTTTTAGACAGGTCCGGAAGTCACTGAGTTGAGAAAGTAAACGGGTTTAGGTCTGAAGTGGGAAGCCAGCCAACACATTTATTTTGGTTCTCCCTTTAGAAAGCAATCAAAATGTCTGCAGATCATGTCTGATGGCTGAAAATCCATGCGGTGTAGTCACCTTCCCAGTGCCCCTTCTCCTGTGAACTGTCCAGGAGTCAAATGGGATGGAGGGCAGTGTGTCAATTTTTTAAGCAGTTTATGCTGAGAATTGACCTGAAAGGGATGCCTCTAACTTGAGAACATATTCCTGTTGGTTGAGGGGGGAAAAGGGAAGATTAGTGCAAGGATTGTGGCAATCTGTTCTTGGTATTCTTCCCTGACATCCTGTGAGCTTGTCTTGTAGTACACATCTTTCCTCTGGACTTCCTATTACGTCTCCTCACTCCAGGTAATCCAGAAGGGACACTTCTTTCCAAAACCTTAAGAGTTTAAAGTTCTACCTTTTCCCTGCCCGGGTCTCTGTTTTTCCCACTTGCCACTTCATGTCCTCCAGTCCCCTCTGGTTCCCAGGCATTGCTTTGTCAGGCTCTCTATGGGATGTCAGTGTGTGGTGACTGTGATAGGCATAAATCACACCCAAACTGTTGGCCTTTCCAAACATCATCACTCACCAATGAAATGGGACAAAAAATTTATGAGTGATAATAAGTGTTATTCTATAGGGCCAGAGAGAAAATGAAGGTGAGCCTAATGCCACATGCTATCAAAACATGTATTTGAGCTGTTGGCCCCAGAGCTGTCAAGATTGCTAGTTGGGTTCTTGTTCTGCCCTGAGCAGCAAATCAGCTTTACCCTGGGGACCTAGGGGTGTCTGAGATGGGTCAGGCCTGGACTATATTTATTATATACAGCAAAAGAAAAGTGTGGAATTCCAAGACTTATTCAAGTTTTTTACTTTTTAGGTTGGGCAAGTGGAGTCTTCTACTCAGAAGGAATAAATGTCTGCTCTTCTGGAGGCCTTGAATTGTCTAGGTTGTTTGCCTTGATATATACTAGATGACAGATTCCTACTAGGTGTAAAGAGCAATCAGGTGGAATGTGGAAGGAGGGAGTCCCTGCCACTTCAGCCTACTGCTCACAATGCAATGGGCTTTAGGGACTGTGTTTTGGGTGTCCAGACACAATATGTCCTCTCATAAGATGTTTGTAATTCACTATACTTTGATGTCCTGGTCTACTTAGCCCGTGTAGATACAGGTTAGGAGTAGAAAGAAGCTGGGCATGGTGACACATGCCTATAATTGCAGTGCTCAGGAGACTAAGGCAGGAGGATTGCCACAAGTTCCAGGCCAGTCTGAACGACATACATAGCAAGGCCCTGTCTCAAAAAATAATAACAAAAAAAGTGTAGAAGTATTTCGTATACACAACAGCTCCAAAGAGCAGATCATTAATGCCACTGGCATCTTTCTATAGACCAAGAATATCTCTCGCAAGCACTAAAACACCACAAAGAACAGCCAAGGAAATCTATTAACAAGTCTTTGCAGTGAACATTTTGATCATGCTATGCCAACCCCAAGCCTTCACACTCTCTGTGGTTGTTACCTGGGCATCAAATTTTCCAGCGTTGTGCAGAAAAGTCATGCAAATTCCATGTAAGCCCCGAATCTCACAAGAGTTGTTCTCGAAACATTCAAAAACGCCACACCCTACATCACCTGCATTGACCAAACAGTGCTGGATCTCCGCTAAAATGAAAATTACATACAAATATATAAATATATATATATATATATACACACACACACATATATATAACTCTCAGCCATGCTGGGGAATGCAGAGAGGTCAGTTGAAATAAAAGTTAGTAAGGACTAAAGGAAGGTTTAAGTGGGAAAAAGTTAGTAAATGACTATTTCAGGGTGTAAGGAGGCAAGGAAACAAAATCTCATTCACTACTAAGTACTGATATTTGCAAATACTTTATTTGTAAAAATGACAAACGTAACTATAAGAAGTTAGGGCTGAGTATCTCCTTCCTGTTTTCTCCATTTTATTAAAGTATTTGTGGGGATAGTTTGAAGCAGAAAATATCTCAGCTTTTTCTGAAGACTGCACTTCATCAGTGAAATGTACCCGTCTCTCCTTGGATCTGGAGAAGCTGCTGCCATTACATCCCAGCCATTTCCTTACTGACCCCCAAATGAGTTCGTCCAAAAAGCAGTTTCAATTCAGCATTATGATTCAACAGCTAAAAATCAAAACAAAATTCCTATTAAGGCAGCGCCTCCAAACCATCCACATTAAAAATACCAGGCTAAGAAAGCTGCGGTTTTCCAGCAGGCTCAAGAGCCAGTCGGAAGGGGGCTAGCTGTGCAAAACGCCACCGCTCACCCTGAGAGGTTCCTTTTAATTAGGGACCGGGTGTGAGATTCATTTAATCCCCGTGGCCCCAGAGCTTGCTGCCCTCCTTTGCAGAGGAGGGTTCTCATTCGAATGTGGTTTCTCATTCGCCTCTGGAAGGACAGACTGCGGAGTTAACTGTCACTCTGCCTCCAGCAAAACCTCGCTTCCCTTCCACCCCCCCCACCCCACCGGATTGTCTGATTTAAACCGAAATAAAATTACACCAGAAAAGTATATTTGGGAAGATGGGCGGGGTCCGAGTAGAAAAATCTGCATTCAGATTAAATCTAGCGAGAGAGAATAAGGGACTTGTATTTGTCGAGGGTCACCAACTCCGGAGAATCACGGTCAGTTTTCAGGGCAAGCGCCAGAGAGGGGGAAGGGTGGCGAGGGTCCTCGGGTGCGGGACCCAGCGTATGGAGGTAAGCGGCTCCGGGCTGACCCACGCGCGGCCCCGGCGTGCCGGCAGCACCGCGGCTCACTCACTAGGGGCGTCCCTTGTGGGCTTTCGTCCGTTCCTGCTCTGGCTCTGAGCGCACGCACTCTGTAGCCGCGGCACTCGCACGGCCCCCCCAAAAGGCTGCGGGGGTGGGGGTGGGCGCAGAACGAAGGAGTTGAGCTGTAAGCAGATTTTCTTTCACTCCTCAGCTCTGGGAAAAGGGCCAGCCCCGTGTCCCGCGCGCCTGGCTCTGCTCCGCAGTTTGCCGAGAGCAGAGAGGCGTTTGAGCAGAGGAGGCGCACGGTTCGGGTCGTGTCACCATTTCTGAGCTTTGCTGACTGCCCAGAAGCAGGGGACGGCGGCAGCACCACGGAGGTAGGCTTTGCGCCACCCGCTTCCCCTTCCAAAAGTAGAGTCCCCCAAAGGGCGAGTACGCGATGCAATTTGTCTCGCCAGCAAAGTTTGGGATGCCGGGCATCTTTTGAGGAGGGGGAGAAGCAGTCCTGCCTAAGCTGTCCGGCTCGGAAGCGGTGGTCTCCGGGTGCAGGGGTCGGCCCAGCTCCGGGGCCCCTCGGTTCCTCCCGTGGGTCAGCCGGGATGGAGAAGTGCTCTTGCACGGGTGGCCTGGCAGCGTCGGGCCCTGCCTCATATCCCCTCAACCCCGGAGAGGACAGCAACAAGTCCTGCCCCAGCCATTTCATCACCCTGCTAGCACGTGCGGATTCCGGGCGCTCTGAGCCCGGCGCAACCTCGCCTCGCCTCTCCTCGTGCTTTCCTATGCATGCCCCGCGCCACACCAAGAGTTTACCGGGCCCTGGATGGGCGCCGGGCTCTGGGCGAAACGCCCAAGGCGCGCTGTGCGGCGCGCAGTATTCTCCCAGCGGCTCCTGGCCGCAGGGGCGCACGCATTTACCTGTGTTCTGCAGGGACAGGCGGCCTTTCTGCTGGGAGCCCCTGTCTTGGGGACCTTCGGGTGGGTTGGTGGCATCGGTCCCTCGCGCCGGGTCGAAGGTGGCTAACACCAAAGCCAGGGTCACGAACTGGCCCAGCCGCTCGGCACACATGGTTCTTGGTATAAACCTCCCGCCGGGAGACCTGGATTCTTTGTGCTCCCCTCCTCCTCTTCCTCCTCCGCCGCTTCCCCTCCTCCTCCCACTCTTCCTCTTCGCTCGCCTTTTCCCTCCTCCTCGCAGCCGCGGCTCTGATAGAGGTTACCCAGCGCCCTCCCGTAGCTCTCCAAAGAGCATGTGACCAGCCGTTAGCAGCGCCGCGAGTGCCGGGCAGTGGCAGGGATGGTGCCTCAAATATCCCTGGAAGCTCTGGTGTCACTTGAATGAAGGAGTCGAGCAGGTGTTGTCCCGGAGGCTGGACCAATCCGAGACCCCAGCCCGTTTGACAACACAGCCGGGAGGCGGGGCTTGCGCTCAACTACTACGAGAGGAAGCTGAGCTCCGCTGGGAGCGCCCGACAAAGTTGCCGACCTGGCACCGGCAATGCGTTCGCGCGCGCGTGTGAGCGTGTGAGTGTGAGCGCGGCCGGAGTTGCGTGCGCGTGTGCGGGTGCTCCAGGGCAATGGCCGAACGCACTTCAAAAAATTAAGGCAGATCCCAGCTCCAGTAGCCGCTAAAGCGGGGCAGGAGGGCACCGTCTATCCTGGGACTTCCAGGTCCTTGGCTCACATCCGGCTGGGAAAGTTTTCTCTTATCACCAATTGCGATTCATTGAAGATTTTAGCACGGTGGCCCGGATAGATTAGAGCACATACCCGGGCACCGTGATAGTGGAGGCCGATGGAGCACACACCTATAGGAATTCTTAGCGTCGTGGGGTTCTGCATTAAAAACTAGTAAAACAGGGTTGAAAATAGGAGCAGAGCACTTAATAAAGTATTTGACCCGAACAACTGCCCCATCTTCTCGCTTTCTTTTAGGTGGGTCCCGTGACACCTGGGATGTTGTGTCTAGCCCTCTCCCACTACGGATGGATTCCAGTCTGGACTGCAGGGATCCAGGTGACAATCCAGTCTTGCATCATTTCAAGGCGGGTAACAGAGAGGCCCAGGCAGCCCTGAATAAGCCAGCTGCGAAGCCCAGTTTGCTCTGGAGGCCGGCTTTAAAGGCAACTTTGCGCGTCTCCAAATACATTCTTCCATTTTTTCAAGGCGCTAGCCTCTGCCCGTCTCGGGATTCCCTTTACTCTTCAATCTGAATGCAAGTGAAAAAAACCAAAAAGCAAAATTCGGGGAAATGCTCTCCATCTCTTCCCCTTTCCTGTTGGAGCCCCCTCCCTAAGTACTGCCCGGATTAGATTGTCCCCAGCTGCTTTTTCCCCGGCTGGAGGAAGCAAGGAGAAAGTTGGGCACCGCTTGGAGCGCCTTTCCTCCTGCTGTGTGTGTACGTGTGCACGCTCACGTCTCCCTCGCGCCGAGGCTAGGGACAGGAACTGCTCCTGGCCTTGTCAACCCGACGGCTCGACTCTGGGGGTTAGCAAGGATGGGGGAGGGCGGAGACCCGATCACAGCAACCTAGCTCCCCGGGGCGCGCACCGCGTGTTGGCACGCCCTCGTCCCTCCCCCGCGGGCACCACCCTTCTCTGGGAGAACAGGTGAGCCCGGGTACCAGCTCTGAAGCCTCACACACCCCCGCCCGGCTCGGCGCCCGCGCCCTCTGCAGTAATGTGCCGGGAAGGTTTCATCACCCACCGCCCCCGGCAACGCAGCCCGGGGCCTCCACGGCGGGGCGCACTGCCGGCCTTATTGGGGCTGCCATGTGACATGCGTGGGGGAGGGGATACGGAGACACCCGGGCTGGTCATTCTGCTGCTGCTTGGCTTCAGAAGCTTTCCTTCCTGGGGAGGAAGCTGGTGGCCAGGTGACCGCCGATGACTGTAGCTACCTTCTCGGGTGGGTCGGGTGGAGCAGACTTCAGTTAGGAGAAAGAGGAAGACGGGGAGGGTGCTTTCAGAGTGGGCTTCCCAGGGCTTGCAGTGTCCAGGAGCCGCTGTCCACTGCACCTGCTCAGATTTCAGAGCCCCAGGAAATGATCACTTTGATTTGAATCTGCAGAAGTGGCAAGAAACAGAGCACTCATTCCCTTGCTTCTGATGGCAAGTTAGCTGCAGCCACAGATTTTTTGTGGAATGCAGACCGGCATCCTCATTGCTTGCCTTGCTTGTTTGAATATTCAGCTCAGCTTCCCTAGTTCATGAAAAACCACCTCCTGCAGATCCTTAAAGCCAAACAAGCAAACAACACAAGGGCTTTTTGGCCTATGCTAATTGGTTAAGGCCCCACACTTCCTGGAGTCAAGTGGATGTTTGTTCTCAGTCTTGCTTAAAGGTATTAACTGAGTTCCTTCTTTCCATCTGATCTCTTTTGTAGGTGAGAACATGAAGAGTATTGGCATTAAAAAGGCATCTGGTCCCCACTTTTTAGATACAGAAGTAGGAGATCCAAGGGGCAAGGGCAAGCCCCCTTTACCTGCTGCAGACACCTTGGCTTCTGCCAGCAACCTTGCAGATGAAGATGACTGGTACCTGTCTCCTCTCTGCCTGTATTAGACACTTCCCTTGCTGCCTGAGGACCTTTGCCTGCTCTCAGAGGACCTGTAACTTAAAAATTCATCTCCAGGCTATTTACCTTACAAAGCAAATAGCCAAGAAACAGCCACAGTTCTTAACTCTGTGACCTGTCCCTTTAGAATGAAAAGAACAGGTAGTAGCTAGAATTTGAGGTGTTGTAAATATGGGTGGGCACTTGTTCTTGAAGTTTTATTTCTGGACCACGTAGCTGAAGCCCAGGCATCCAGATGAGAATGCTCAGTCCAGTCAGTCTCATGAGGGCTTTGAGAATTCTGCAGAATCACCGGGCTGTTTGCAGGAGCTACTAGTCTAGGCTGTAGGCCCAGGGAAGGAGCACTGGGGTGCACAGGCTGGTGATTTTGTTGGGATTTCCTCTCCTACCTGCTGATTCCTTTGGCTCTGTCACTCAGCCTGGTTTGGCAGACTGACTTGAGAGTGGGCGAAGAGGGGCAGTCATCATAATATTGTTATAAAGTAACATGAGTTGAGAATAGGCACTGTGTCACCTGCTAGGTTTGAGACTGTGATGTCCTAGACCTGAAGTCCACCCTAACTGCAAGTTCTGAGAAGCATGAGAGTGGATCAGTTGGTGCTGCCCTGAGGTTAAGCAGAGTCTGATTGCAGAGTTGGGCCCTCTTTCCCACTGAGGCCATGTAACTGGAGAGGCAGTCATGGCCCACCATAACATTCAGTAATGTCTGTGGTTGAGGCAGGGGGCCCTGTTTCCCCTCTAAATCCTCTTCATCAGCTAACTCCAGTCAGCTCAAACTGGGAAGGTTTTGAAGGGAGGGGCACGTGGGTGAGATCTTGAAAGATGGAGCAACTACCACAAAGTTGAGGCAACGGGGGGGGGGCGGTTTAGCAGGTTAGGACTGGAAGTAAATGCAGCAGGAGATGCAGTGGGATTTGCATCAGGAATAGGGGTTGACCATTTGGTGTTAAAGAGATCAATCTTGTGAGTATGTTGTAAAACTGGGCCATTGTGAAAGTCCAGGCTCATCATAGAAGATCTTGCTCTCTCATCCTGAGGGATATTTAAGGATGAGAATGTGGGGTATTCTTTGATTAGATTCTTTTTAGGAATTAGGAAAAGCTTAGAAGCCTATTGCTGACATTGTGGAACAATGGGAAGGAGTGAATTGGAATCTTGATGTGTGTTATGATGTCCAGCAAGAGAGGTGTTCTTGCTCGGGTGTGAACAGGTGGAGCCTTAAAGAACTGGATGCATTCTTGTCTGTGGGACAATGTCTGTAACTTGACACATGCTGTCTAGTCCAGGCTTGCAGAGTTCCAAAGCCTGGGTGGAGAACATGGCTTAGTCCGAGGGAGCTCCGCCCACTGCATGCCCCTCCCACCCGAACTGACTGCCCGGGCTGATGGCGCCACCTTATGGTCAGAGGGGGAACTGAATGACCAAACAGCCTGGTTCAAGGGCCTGGGCCCTAGTATTACGTCTCCTCCTTTCTAAGTTTCCTTACTTTTTCCTTAACAAGTTAGTCAATAGTGATTTAGGCAGTCTTCTCACAATGAGATATTTTAATTTTCTCCATCAAAGAAATTGCTCTCAAGCTTTTTTTCTCTTCCTGCTCCATCCTTCGCTGTCTTACTTTGTGAGCCTAAAATCCACCCTAGTCATGGCTCCTGTGTGTCCTGCCCACAGGAAGAAAAATGACAAATTATTGTAGTGAAAATAGAAAATTACATTCAAAATTACAGACTGCTGCTGTCATGCCTATGAAAATTTTGCAAGCAGAGGTCTTTCCCTAAAATAATATCTATAGTCCTTCTAATCTAATTAACCCAATTGTTTAATCCAATAGAATTCAAGACAAAGACTATATTTAATATTTGTATTTATTACTAATACTACAAAAATATGTTCTACTAATTTTCCCTCTAAAAACACAAAACTTCAACAGCGTTATAAATTAAGAAGGCTTTTCTGGGGCTAGCCTGGAAACCTAAAATTTATAATATTGTTTTTAGCTGGATGTAGTTGCATGTGCCTTTAGTCTCAACTACTTGGGAGGATGAAAAAGGAGGATGGCTTGAGCCCAGGAGTTGGAGGTCAGCTTGGGCTACACAGTGAGACCTTGATCACAAAATACATGCATCACACATTTATATATACATATTTATTTTTGGAGGAAAATATATCTTGAGTCCTAAAATAATCAACTCTCAAAGCGTTGGAACATAACACATTTGTGAATTGGGCATTTCCTCTATGTTACTGATCAATAGTCAGAATGTTCATGGATTGAATGGAAATACAAATGATAAAAAGGAATTTTTAAAAGCCTAAGAGAACAGGAACACTGCACCCCTAGCAATAAATCCATTTACTGGAAAGAATGTAAGGCAGTAAACATTGGATGCCTCTTGTGACCTGAACACTGTTAGTGCCTTGCTTTAAAGCTTACATTTTCTCAGATGCCCTCTCTGTTTTCTTTGGGCCTTCGTTTTTTGCTTTCTTGTTGCTCGCTGAGACAAATTCCAGGAGAAACTATCCCAAGGACTGGGTTGCCTGGGTTCCACCAAGGGAGCTGGTTGAGCACAGAGGTCGGCATTTTCGTGGTAGATTCTGTGGAGCTTTCCCTGGCTAAGCTTCAGTTTTGCTCTGAGAAATGTTGAATTTCGGGTGGGTAAAGAAAAAATCTTTTTCTTTGTGGGAGAAGTTCTTGTACCTTTATATAATGTATCTTGATTCTTATTTTCCTCCATTCCCCTGCCCTCTCTTTACCCCCTCCATCCTACCTATTTACAAAGACTTAGTTTCCATTTTTTCCTTTTCTCATATTTTTCTTTTTCATTCTTACCATTCCCCTACCCCTCCCACTTCCCCTAGTCCTTTAGATCTTTTCTTCCTATTGCACAATGTCAGTTATACATTTGGATCCTTATTTACACTTTTAAATATTCATATCAGAGAAACTATTCAGTATTTACACGTGCATCCTATTTATTTCACTAGAGTATCGCCTCAATGTGCATCCGCTTAGCTATAAATGTCTCTAGTTTCTCATTCTTTATGGCTGAGAAGTACTCCATTTTATAGAAAAACCACATCTTCTTTATCCAGTCTCCAGTTGATGGGCAATTGGGGCTTTTTCCAAGTTTTGGCTATTACAAACTGTGCTGCTGTATGTGGTAGAAGTTTCTAATGAAGTTGGTTTTGAAAGTCTTTGGTAAATGGTCAAATCTATTAATGCAGCTAAACCTCAGTATTTGATCAGTTTTACATTTAGATTGAGTTTTTTTTCCCTGAGAAGTTCTAACTATTTGTAAAGACTGCTATTTCATGACTTATGTTCATTTTTAGGAGTGTTCCTAAGACCAAAGAACACACTTTAAACAAAAGCAGAATAAAGCTCATTCTATGTTGCAATAACCACATTGCACCTTCAGAACCATTTATAAGTCTATGGGTGGATATATGGATAAGTCATAGGACCTTAGTGATTTTAATTTTCTTATATATTAAAAAGTTTCCATTTAATCACCATAATGACAATTTTATTATTACTCATCAGTTATTGCCAATTGGGGTAAAAATCACTCAAAAAAGAAGGAAGAAGAATGATGGAATCACCTATAAGGATGATGCAATAATGCAACTAATCGTCACTATTGCATCATCCCCCGGTTTTTAACATTACATTGTCTAAAGTATTACACCATGTCTCAAGAAGGCATAAGAGAAGACAAAGGGGAGAAACAACTTCAGGTCCATTTAGCCAAAAACGTGCTGGAGGAAAGATACCCTCTTTAACAAACAGTGCTGGGAAAGCTGGCTGTCCACATGCAGAGGATTGAAGCAAGGCCCATATCTCTCACCATGTACTAACCTAAAACCAAAGCGGATCAAAGATCTGAGTAATAAAGCAGAAACACTTAATTTACTGGAAGATAAAACAGGTAAAGCTTTTGAAGACATAGGCGTAGGCAAAGATTTTTCTTTGAATGGAACCACAGTTGCATAAGAAATAACATGAAAAATCAACAAATGGGATTTATATCAAATTAAAAAGCTTATGCACAGCCAGCAAAACACTCAATAGAGTGAAGAGACAACTTACAAAATGGGAAAATATTTTTGTTAGCCACTCCTTGGGCAGACGACTAATATTAGAATATATAACAATTCAGAGATGATAACCACATAGTAAAACTGTCAATCAACAAATGAGCAACTGAAACAAATAGACACTTCTCAAAAGAAGTGCGGATGTTCTTGAAAAAGTGTTCAACATCTGTAGTCATTAAAGGAATGCAAATGAAGACAACATTGACATTCAGTGTGTTACTCCAGACAGAATGACTAACAGCATGAAATCAAGTAAAAACCAATGCTGGCAAGGATTCGGGGCAAAGGAAAACTTCTGCATTGTTAGTGGAAATGTAAATTAGTATAATCACTATAGAAATCAGTATGAAAATTCCTCAAAAAACTAACAATAGAAATTCCAGGATATTCCCATTCCCAATATCTTTTCAAAAGAGTTAGAGACATCGTGTTACAATGATACACGCATACCCATGTTTATAGCAGCACATCTCATAATAGCTACATCTTGGAATCAGCCTATATGCACATCAACAGATGAATGGATAAAGAAAATATGGTTTTTCTGTACAGTGGAGTACAGCAGGGCTATAAAAAAGGATAAATTGGAGTCATTTGTGGGAAAATTGTTGCACCTTGAAATGATAGTGTTATGTGAAACAAATCAAGAATACACACTTAAATATGTTATAGTTTCTCTTATATGGGAAAACAAAGTAGAAATAAATTAAAGAGCAAAATAAAAGATAATAGAAAATTGGGAGATGAATCTTTTGCAAATGGGAAGGAGACCAACAGACGGAGGGGGCGCTGGCTAGGAGGGGAAGAGGAAGGAAAAAGAATTAAGATGTTTTCTGTACATGTGGCACCTCCCCACACTGAATGTACACAATCATCATGTAGTGCAAACACATGCTAACAAAAATAAAAATTTTTAAAAAACACCATCTTTTTAGTCTTCTTACAATTACCATTTGTTTTGCTCAGATATGTATTTTATTTAATTTCATCATTTCTTTAGTTGCTACATAAAACTGTACATGTTTATGAGATATATTATTTTGCTTTCAATGAGTACAGTTTTGAATGTAGAATTTTTCATTTTTTGCACAACAGTGTAAAGAGAAGAAAATTGACAGAGGGAAACACAATGTTAGAGAAATCAGAAGATCAAAGAGAGCAGCATTTTATACTCTGATGATGGTGGAGAAATTGAGTATATAAGGAAAATGTTAGCCATGTGTCTTACATAACAGTAATTTAGACGAATGTTCTCAAATTTAAGAATCTATGAGTAAACAATGTATTTCTAAGGACAAAAAGAAAACATGATATTCTCATCAAGTTAGTCATTTGATAGGAATGATTTCATCATGTAATATTTTGCAACACGAACCTGGGCTATCCTGTCTAAAAGAATGTGGGTCGATAATATTCTTTTAATTTTTATGATATTTGCTCTCTCAAAATTTTTTGATACAACTTAAAATAAACAAATTAAGAAATCAGATCCAAGGTGATTACAAAGGTGATTGTAAAGTAGGTGACATAGAAATGAAAGAAAAACATCATGAGTAATTGTTCTAATGGCCTCTTATAAATGTAAAAATAAAAGCGCTTTATAAATGTGGAGCAAAGAGGACAAACATCTTCTCTGAAACAAATTATGAGCTGTCAGAGGTTTCAGAAGCAATGTGTTTTCTGTGGCAAGTGTATGAAGAACCAGAAGCAATGATAAACTAGAATTGAGAGATTTACTTGAAATCTGAGCTCAGTATTAGGATCACACACAATTAGTTGGTGATCATTTAGTTGAGGACTTTGGCTTACTTTGAGTTTATATACTTTCAAAACCAAGAAAACACAGGGAAAATTTGTGATTTAAATTATTAAATTCTCTAATACAGTTAAATACTTTTAGTCTCATTTGACTAGATTATTCATAAAAATAAAAAGGATCCATTGGACCCGATGGCAAAGGATGACGGCGGCTTTGCCCTTAGTACAGTGTGTGGGTTAAGGTTGTAGAGACAAATATCAAAATGACTCCTTCAGCAAGGAGTCAGTGTGTAGATGTTGGTGTCACTATCCATCCTCAGCCCACTTCTCACACACTTACCCGGTTCCACATTGGTCCATTTCAGACTGTATCACAGAATCATACATCTGAGGATTATTTTAAAATGGGTTTGAATGAGAGGCATCATGAAATAGCCTGTTTATTCTCCCCTCTACTGTAACTCAGTTCTCCTCAAACTCCCATGAGTATAAGAATTACTGCACAGGGGCCAGGGATGTAGCTCAGTGGTGCCGTGCCTGCCTGGCAAGTACAAGGCCCTGAGTTTGATCCCTGGTACCACACACACACACACACACACACACACACACACACACACAGACACAAGAACTACTTCACAGAACTAAATACACATGGCATGAGTACTGCATCTTAAATGGTAGTTTACAGAGTTTAAAAAATTATTTTACTTTTTATGATGCTGGGAATGGAACCCAGGATCTTGTGAATACTAGGCAAGTGATCTACCACTGAGCTGCATCCTTAACCCCCACAAGATTTTTAAGATTTTGACCACTCAAGGTTTTACTTTGCCAAATTTAGAACTTCACACCAACCATGGACTGGAAGGCTCTGCCAGATCTGGCCCTTCAGATTTCACAGTTCTCTCATGCATTCCCTTCCAGCACCTTCTTTCCACACTGCAAGTAGTCTACGAACTTTCCTTAGGTCCTTAATGCAGGCTGTTCCTGTAAGACAGGGGCTTTTATTACTTTATTTATTTGTTTGTTGTTTTATTCTGTCTCCTACCTAAAGTGAGATATAATCTCCCTGGTGTTGGGAAGATTGCCTGCCTTATCCAATGTCCAATCCATAGAACCTACTACAATCCCTGACACAGTAAATTAAATGTGTGTGTGTGTTTGTGTGTGTGTGTATGTGTGTGTGCATGTGTGCATTGGTTGACAAAATGCCTCAGTGCCATTAGCAGAACTGAGACTGCTAATGAGGGGGTGGGGGAGGGGAGGGGGGTTATAAAGGGTTAATGGCATCCAGGTGGCTATCTGGTGGGCAAGTCACTGACTCTTCTCCCAACTCTTGTAGCACTTCCTGATTACTTAGCACTTTATGCCTCTTTGCCACCTCAAGTCCAAACAGTCTTATCTGCAGCTCATTTAGCTGAAAGGTTCCAAGTTAAAGTTTGAGCCTGGATATTCCAATTCCTAGATCTTTGCATTTTCTTGTAATTCTAAAGATTATATGGTTATATCCACATCTCCATCCTTACCAGTGGACTGCCAGGATTATGGATCATGTTGAAAACCAACATGTTTCTTTTGATGCTGATCAAAGTGAACTTAGTTTACAGATGACTTAAAAAACAAATTCATTTTGTTTTCTTTCTAAGATCTTAAAAACCTTAAGAAAGAGAAAAAACTTTGAGAAAGAAAAATATGATTAGAAGTAAGGCTTCAGAGGAAAGAAATAGGAGCAAAGTTAAGGTTACTACTTAAAGCCAACGAATTTTCTTATGAATATAAGAAAATTGTTTGTTTTTGTTTTTGCAAGGCTATCACCACCACCAAAAAATGTGGGCAATAAGATAAATTAGCACACAATTAAGGCCAAA